GGGAAGGGAAGGGAAGGGAAGGGAAGGGAAGGGAAGGGAAGGGAAGGGAAGGGCAGAACAACAGGTATCCAGAGCTCTGCAGTTTGTAACATCCACAAATTTGATCAGCTCAAATTAAAAAATACAAATCCCTGCATAGATCCTTGAGGATCTCCTTAGTTACTTCCCTCCATTGAGAATACCCATTTATTTCTACTTTTTGCTTTCTCCTAACCAGTTAGTGATCCAGAAAATGACAGGTCCTCTTATCTCAATAACTCCTGTGTTTACTCAAGAACCTTTGAGCTGCTGAGGCAAGATTTACCTTTGCAGAATCCACCTGGTTTTCTTCAGCAAGGCTTGCTGTGCTACATGCTTAGTTGTTTTTCCTTTGATTATCATTTTTACCAATTTGCCTGGAAGAGATGCTAAGCTGAACAACCTATAATTTCCTGGATCTCTCCAAGTCCATTTAAAAAATGATGTCACATTAGCTACCTTCTAGCTTTTAGCACTGAGCTCGATTTTGAGTAATATGTTAATACTTTTAAAGAACTTATGGATAGACATCATCGGTATCCATTGATTTGTTTCTGTGTAGTTTTTTAAAATTTCCTAGAATATCTTCTCTAGTCATTAGGGCAGGCTTTCTATTTCCCAAAGGAAGCCTTAATTTTTACAGATTCCTGAATCATTCTAGCCCTTTGGTTGGCCCTTTGTTGTATTGTGGAATACATGCCAGTTTAGCCTGTTAGAATGCCTCCGGCCTTTTCCTTTCAGTCCTTCACCATTCATAGGCTGCCAAGGACCATAGGCTGAAACTTAGAGGTCTCAAGCCAACTCTCTCAGAAGCATCCTGTGTTTACCCACTCTGGACTACCTTCCTGTTTAGTAGAGCTGCTTAGTAATTGCTGCTGACATCATCTGTTTTCCAAAATGATGCCTTTACTTGGCATTCTCCTGGGAATCTCAGTGTGTGAGATGAAGCAAGATAAAAATACAAGCTGGAGGAAGAGGACAAGGTGCTTGCTTTTCAAGTTGAAGAGCAGGGCATGTTCTATTGCAGTCAGTCCCAAAGGCCCAGCATTTCCTGTGGAAAAGTATAAGTTCCAAAATATAGGAAGGTTGAAGATCCTGACTACTTCCTGAACAATTTTGAAAAGTCTTGTCACAACTGCAAGATGAGGCAAAGTCATAGACCATATTAACTAGTTACCTGTTGTCAGTGGCCTGTGAAATGGCTTGGGGTGAAATGGATGAATATGCATTATTTAAGAACATGGTGAAGTCCAGTGTGGACACTTGAAAGTTCTGGAAGGAACTTCAGATCCTTTCCATAGAAGACAGATGAACCCTTTCAGACTTTTCTCCATAATGTAAAAGATCATATGATCCCTGACATGAACATGGTGAAGGCAGGACATCTGAGTAAATCATTTGTATAGGATTTTTCTTTGTTATCCTTTTCCAATTATGTGTTCTTTTCCTGAAGGTTTCTACAAGTTGAATTGCTGTTAGCCAGACTTATATTTACCTCCTCAGGGAGAATTTGGCTTCCGCCTGTCATTTTCTTTAATTCTATCTGTGAATTAATTTGCACTATGAATTTTCCAACCTCAGTGCAACTTCTAGGAGGCTTCTCTCTGAATTTTAGGGTCAGCAATTGACTATATTAGGGCCCAAAAGTAAATTCTAATGAAGCAGATGCCTTGTGAATAGGTAGGCTGAAAACTGATTATGCATCAATTGTAGTTAGGCTTTGAAAAACATAGTTCGACTAGGAGGAGTCTGAGAGTTCATCTAATGTTCAGCTTGCCGTTATGTATAATGGTACATTAAGTTATGAAATTGGGCTATACTGCAGATAAAGAACCAGATGTAACCATTCAAGGGTGAAGGTTTTCTCTTCACTCTTGCATGAATAGACAAAGTGATTGGCTCACCTAGCCTCATTCAAAGGTGTTACGGAATGCTTCTCATTTATTAGCTAGAAACATTTTAAAAAATGTTTGTTAATATGTGCTGTACACTAAAGAAACTATACACATCCATATTTTATCCACCCTTTTTTCCCCAATTCAGAAATAGCTGATAAAATCTACAACCTCTTTAATGGCTACACTAGTGGAAAAGAGCAGCAAACAGCCTACAATACCTTACTGGACTTGGGTTCCCCAAGTCTTCACCGGGTCCTCTATCACTACAACCAGCACTATGAGAGCTTTGGGGAGTTCACTTGGCGCTGTGAGGATGAACTGGGACCTCGGTAAGATGCCCCTCCCCTCCCCTCCCCTCCCTTCGGTTTCAGCATATTTCTGTAGTTGCTGTTGTAGTCTTGAACAAGTAATTGCATTATTGTCAAAGTCAGTGCATTCAGATTTATGTTGATCTCAACATGCCATTCTAAGGAGACTTGGCTCACTTACAACATCACAAAAAACGGCAATAGGAGACAATTTCCATAGTGCTGCCAAGAGGACTGCATGGATGTGGTCACCAGCAGTCCTGTGACCTCAGGTCGCCTAGCTATGAGGCAAATGATGATGAGATATTAAGCAGCTAGGACAATTCCAAAGGGATGATTTTACCAGCTTTAGCAGTCTCTAAAGGATCAAGATAAAACTTAGAAATCAGATGTAGGGTCCTCTACTTCTAGGCAGATCATCAGGCTTTGTGCCTGTCAGGGCAAATCATTTGCAAATTCTTGCTTAGCCAGGAGAGTGGATCATTGCTTCACTCTTTACAAACATTTTTCTCTTTCACACCATTACATTTGTCCCTCCAGTTGGAGGCAGACATTCCCTTCCTCCCCAAATTGCTGCAAGAGAAAATCTTGTTCATGAAGTGTGTACCCATTACACTTTCGCCTTTGGTCAAGCAGGTTCACAAGTTTTTGTATTGCTTCAGTTAATTGAATTGTTGTGACACCAAAGAACTCAGTGTTTATGTTGCAGAAAATGAAATCTCAAACAGATTTAAACTCTTTCAGAGTCAAACTCAGTGAGCAGACAAGGATCTGAAACTGTATATCTCTTCTTGTTATTCTTTGCAAAATAAAGGTGATTGTTTTGGAATTTCCCTCTCTGTAGCTCTTGCATCAATGCTAGGATAAATTGGGTTTTGTTTTAGATGGAAATTGATTTCCACCCTTATTCTAAATGCAAATGGAGCAAAGATATGAATCAAAATAAGCCCTAATCTCATATAGGGCTCCCACATAGCCCTATATCATCATGTATCATCATCATGCTTTCCTCCAGAGTTGGGAGGAAACTACATTGACATAAATCACGTGCCTGTGGAACGGGGCTGTGTTGTGCCACAGTTCGTGCAGCTCTAGCATGCAATGCTGCGAAGGCAACGATCGGTGATCTTCCCAGCTGAAATTCCTATCCTGACCAATGTCACCAAGTATAGGAAAAGCTGCCACCAACCATCCTACAAAATGCGTTTCGGGCCAGTGCTTTTACTCACTGGGTGCTCTGCCTTTTTTTGCCAATGTATTGTCCCACCAGCCTATCAGCCACTAGGTGGCTGCAAAGTGCCAGAATTGTCTGTCCCTTTCAGCTGCCATCTAGCAGCTGTCTGGATTTGTGCAGTCCAGTGCAGCTACTGTATGCGTGTGGTTGAAGAGCCAGAGTTCAAGACAGAGGTTGGGGGTGCCCTCAGTATCTCATGTCCATGATTCTCATCATAATTTATCTCTGTCGGACATGCCATCTCCATACCCACTACCCTTCCGTTGTTTCTTTCTGCAGAAAAGCGGGACTTATCCTCTCCCAGCTTGGGGATCTAAGTACCTGGTGCCACAGTCTTTTACAAGAGCCCAAAATCAGTCTTCAGCGCACAACGCTCAAATTCCTCGCCTGCCGCTACAGTGAGATCAAGCCATATGGATTCAATTGGCTGGAGCTGAGTCGTGACCTGAAAAAAACTTGCGAGGAGCAGATGCTGAGTGTTCTTTACAACGACTATGGAGACAAAGACAACTGAGCAGGCTCATGAAAATACATCAAAAGAACTTCCTCAGAATTGTGGAAGAAGGGAGTTTATAGGAGCAGGTTGTTGGGGTTTTTACATGGATATTCAACACACCAGATAGATCTCTAATGACAGTGTTGCTTAGAAAGAGAGATCATGTTGTTTCTGTTGGCTTAGCTGATTTCACATGGTGCAAAGCTTTCCCACATTTGCAAGTGATGTGATATCTAGTGTGGTGGTGGTTATGGGAGATGTCCTCTTTGGAATGGGGGAACTGCTCTGCTCATTTTGCCAAGATGTTTCTTAGCCTTGTGTGGGGAGGTATTAGTGCATGTGTGTGTTCCACCTAGAAAATACTCCTAGAACAGCAGCCTGTTCCACACACATACACCACTGACACAAGGACACACACAGACTCGCATGAAATAGAACAGAATAACCAAAGCTAACAAAATAAGGGATCTCTTTTGGGATCTAAACAAATCAGCAACAGGAAGAAGAACAAAAGCATGTTTAAAGGAAAGGATAAAATACATAGAATGAATTAACAAAATATCTTCCAGAGAAAAGTTCTTTTATGTGATGTCTGCCTCATCTCCTTTTATAGCAGCCATTCCTTTGTTATGTCACTCTTGAATATCTTTCTAGGGTAGCCGGAGCATCTCCCCCTGCAGTCCCCATTTGGATATGCATCACTGAGAGTTACAATTTGATGAAAGATTGCAAAGATGCCAAATGGCAGATTCCACAACATCATTTAGGAGCTTCCGTAGCTTCAAATGCTTCAGATGAAACTAAAATCATAGCATCCAGTGGGCAACAAAACTCAATTTTGCCACTGGGAAATGCAAATAAAATAAAGTACAGAAGTTGAAATTATTTGATAGGGGACTCATTTATATTTCAGCTATTAGATGCAAACTTTAAAACAAATTTTGAAATAACTTAACATGCAGCCATCCAGCCTGCACCACTAGTTATTAAGACTTGATGGCAAACAGTGCAATAACATGAAGTGGGAGGAAAGACTTATCTGGAGGAGGGCAAGGTGGATGATCATCCGTGGTTGTAGGGGTAGGAAGAGAGAAATTCTTCATTTGCTATTAGAAGCAATTCATCTAATAGGGTTGCTGCATTTGGAACAAGGTTTTGCATTCTGGATTATGCAGTTCCAATCAGTTTCTGCACATTCGGCATTTAATTACCAGGATATGTAATTGGATATATAATTTCCAAAATGTATGAATACCTGGTAAAATTCCTTGCAGATGATACTGCTGAACCAGAAAAAAGTTGGCTGAGCGGGACTGTGATTTGCTGAAAAGCTTCACCTATGTTTGACTGCAGTGGCCAAGTGTTTCTCTCACCTTCTCAAGAGTCATTTAAACCAGGTGGGACATTGGATATTGCTGAACATGCTCACAAAGAGATGGTAGCAGGAAGCTTTAGAGACAGACAGTGTCCAGTAGGATGAATATCTTTGCAGCGTATCCAGTTATCCTAGAAATCTACCTGTCCAGTTCTAAAGGTTTCTTGTTGCCCTGTACATACTCTGCAAATATTCTGAGCCAAGAACTTCTCAGGGAAATTATGAGCTGGACAAACCTTTATCTGCACCAGGTAATAATGATCTTCAGGAACATAGCTAGAATCAATAAGATGAAGCATGGCTAAATTCAGCTCAGCAATTTTTCATTTGCCAGTGGTAGCAAAAGAAACCCAAAAAGATGAGAGCTCCAATCGAGTAGGCCAAGTTTTCAGCTCCTAAAAAAAGGCAACACACTCTTGGTTGTTACGGCTCTGATAGGAATGAGGGGACCTCAAACATCTGGCAACTTTACTGCAAAAGGCTTTGATTTCCCCTCATTCCATCAAAATCTAATGTTTCCTTCAAAACACTTTAAAATTGGTAATTATGTACATATATGTTCTACCAATCAATATTTGCCTAGTCCCACAGATACTTTCAGATTTCAAGTGTCTGAATGTACTTCTAAGATGTAACAGAGTCTACCTTGGAGTATATAGCAGAACACGTTCTGAGAAAATTGTGCATTTTTAAAGTCTTCCTCATTTAATTATTAGTTCATTAAAGGATCCTGGGATTAGAGGCAATTTTTTAGCATAAAAAAGAGGGATACACCTTTTCCCTACTGCAGTGTTCCTCAATCTCAGCAACTTTAAGATGTGTGGAGTTCACCTCCCAGAATTCCCAGCATGTTTAAGATTTTGAAGTTGCTGAGATTGAGGAACACTGCCTTCCTGTGCACCCTTTTGTGGTTGTGACTTCCTACAGGGGCTGTTCATTAAAAACCAAGGAGTCATGAAGAATTTTAAGAGCAGATTCCTTAAAATATGGCAACTCTTTTTCAAGCTCATGCAGAGGCCTAAAAAATGTCAGGCTGATTTAATGACTAGTAGATAGACGTTGTGCTTGCGCCAGATCCAAAACATGGTTTCTTGACCATTTTCAAGCGTGCACAGCCCTCCTATCTAATTTGGCTCTGTGTGTAGGACTAGTGAGGTGACAAAAGCCACACTTAAGAGGAAACATTGGTTTCCTCCCATGGAAAGTAATACTGGGAGACCAGTCACTAACAATCATTAGGGGGAAATGCTTTTATTTGTTTCTGCAGCTGCCATTCTGAATGCAAATGGAGTATACTGAACCCATCGCCTGCAGTCCAACCAAGATGGTAGATGCCCTCTTTGCACTACTCTGTCTTGTCAAGATAAACAATAAGGAAGCGGGGATAAAAGCAGAATTTTAGCCCTTAAGGTATTCACTTTTTTATATGTCAAAAATACTGGTAATGGGTCTCCTGCTGAATGCTCTGAATATAAGAACAAATTGCTTATCCCTACTGAATATTTCAAATAGAGCTGTTCACGCACTTAAAGAAGACTTAGTCAATGAAACATGTTTAAAATCACAAAGTTTCGGATGAATAAAACTTTCTGATGGTTATAGAGGGGGAAAGGGATGGTTGTATTCAGATGATGCAGATGTTTATTGCTTGATCCCACCAATGTCAGGAAGATGTATAGGCCAATGCATCTGGAGAACACTGAGTTGGGAAAACAAATAAGCAAAAAACCTCTAAACATGGGAACCCAAACTTGTGACTCAAGTGTATGTAGAACTCTTTGAAATAGAAAAGCGTCTCCTCCTTCCAAACTCCATGACTTGTACTTTTCTTTTGCCAGTGCTTTTTCCTTTTTGCATCCACTATCCAAATCCTGGCTCCCAAAATGCTATAGCCATTTGGCTATATTGAAAAATATAATT